TTATACTACAGATTAGATGGTGAGAGCTGAAGCTGTATAAAAAGCGTTCAGCTAGGGATGGCTCATATGAATAAAATCCTCTATCACAGTATGTAATTTTATATCACTATATCAATATCTATCGTAATAAGAGTACATTTTATAGACAATCGATTGAGAAACAGTTTATGGATAACATACCAGTAGGAATGTATGTCTTTAGCTAATAAAGTGAATTGAATACCTTAGGAAAATCCCATAAAAAATCCAATACCATCACAAACAGGTTCTGCTCATTGATCTGCTTCTATGTCCTCAATGACCTAACACCCAGATATTAAACTGGCGTGCAGACTATCAGGGATGAAAAAGGTGACAACGATGCGAATCCCCCTAGGAGGAATGCGGTCTTAGATTTTATCTTTATCTTTTTATAGTGCAATTTGATTTTTAACCTTGACAAGTCACCAATGTATGAGGGAAAAGATTAAATATTTTACCTTCAAGATAGGTATGCTTCTAGTGTTGGAGCACTTTTCTGTTCTTACTGTTCACAAACTAACCAATATTTTAGAATTACAATAAAGCAAATATCTGTACATATAATCTTTATCAACACTTAAGAAAACCAGAATGTACATCAGTCAGTGGGCGGGTCTCCCAGCTTCAGTGTTTCATTTGCGCTCACTGTGTGACTGACTCGAACGCCATTCTGCTTGCTGTGCAAAACTCAGCATCTGATGCTTGCACTGTATGGAAAAGGCTTCTGGGTGGCATGTCTGGTGATTAATCGATCAGGCTGATCTTCCACTGACCTCAGAGATCAGTGGATTTCAGCAACAGATCTTTGAGATTTCCTCTGTAGCTGAAGTTGTGCATTGGACTCTGAGCCGAACTAATCCTTACTTGTAAAAAGGAAACGGGCTCCTCTGCTCAGATAGTGATCAGCACCACAGTAGACTGGACAGCTCCGCCTCAAGCAAGGTTTACTATAATCCCACGATTAAATAGAAACAACAGTGCTAAACAAATGTAGTACATGGCTTTATTTATCTGGCACTGATGTAGCCCTACGAGAACAAGTTTAGGTTTTAAATAACCTAAAACATGTAATCTTTTATGAGCCTATATATCTAAAAAATGACAGTTACTGTAATTTGACCGAGGAAAGCTGGATTTCTGCTTTATGGAATTCTAGAAATACCTTTATAAAAACTAGGAAAGTATTGTTAACTGCTATTATTGCATGCAAACAGTAAGGAGGGAAAAAGCAAGCATATTGCAATGAAATGTAAAAGCATATTTAAAAGTTCCCATCGTGACCTCCAAGGGGTAACAACTTTTTTGATACGGCTTTGTGGATTAGGAAGGCACTGATGGGGCAGAACTCAACAACAAAGAGTGATTCCGAACAAGACAAATCAATCACTTTTCTGGGAACGTTTGCTTATTGTCCTATGATGTTTGTAACCTACATTCCACCTTTGCATGGTCGAGTGAAAGGGAAAGTTTACTTGCTTTTTGTTCATTTTCTTCATGCACCCTGTCAACCCAAGTCAAAGACTACACAACACACAGGACTTACCGAAACATATGGGAGATTTATCATCATTAACTTATGTGTGAGGCCTTTACATTTTTAGAATGTGCTTATTTCCTAACGGCAGACTAATTCAAAGCACCCTGAATCTATTAACATTGTAGGGAGCAGATTATTTCCTTACAGGGCCAGTGGTAATAGTGATGTGATATGGAGATCTATATTTTGAAAGTCTTTTCATGATAATGAATGTGTAATATTGGAAAGGTGATTATGAAACTAGTGGCCTCCTCTCCATCTCTCTTGTTGCTTCTTTTCAGTCAACAGCGTGTGCATGGTACCACATACTGATTCATTTCATAAAGTTCAGTGAAGATGTCAAGGCCCGGTGTCAGTGACATTTCTGGAGTGAGAGGAAAGTTTCAACTTGTTGTGGTGGAGAGAGTATGGTAACAAAAAATATATAAAAATTGTGGATCATAAGTCTTGTGTTCAAACTTTTACTTGGAGCTGCATTTGGAAAACTCTTGTGTACTTTCAACCTGAAAGATCCAACCTCATAGATACATAGCACTATTCAAATACCACTTCACAGTATACTAACACATGAGTATCCCATTCTAAGTCACAACATGTATCGGTAGACTACAAGGTCGCTGAACAAAGAGAATAAACCAGACTCAAAGGGCATCAATGGGTTTTGAGATCAAATCTTATACAGAACCACATCAAAAGACAGCACACCACAGAATGTAGTATAAATAAACAAGTTATCCATGTCTTTCAGCCATTAGCAGCACATAGAAAAAGCAGGCTGCAGCTGCTGTGTGCAATTTTCAAAAACGATTTACAACATAAGAGAAGAACAACAATAAAACCAGCAAAAATGATAAAAGTAGTCACTTACCATTACATTTTCTGAGGGCAGCGTGTAGGTGTTGAACCATTTCAGTATAACAGCCGTCCATTCATGAACTGTCACACAGCACTTGCAGGTCGTGTTTCTCTGAAAGGTCAGCAGGATGAACAGTTCAGGATTGGCCCTACAGGGTGTAGAACATGACATGTTTTTACCAGTCCAAACAACATTTCATGAAAGTGAAGTGAGTATACGACGTACAAAGTCGGGGCATGCTGGCTGGGTCCACTTAGCTGTGAAAACACTAGCTGCATAATTTCTGTCACTACCATAGCTCAATTACTTGAAATGTACCTTGTCGTTTTTATTGAAACGGGCTGGTTACACTTACATTGGTTGTCCTGTCAGTCGCAGTGCTTCCCTCTGAGAAGCAGCGGCCAGTATGGAAGCTAGCCGGGGCCCGGGAGTTAGCTTCACTGAAACGTATGCTAGCACTTGTGCTAACAATGCTGCATTAAAACTGTGCTAACTCCCTTACTCGTCTCCCTTTTGTTTCCTCGGATGCTACAGCAACTCGTAAACGTTAAAACTTTTGGTTAACACAAATAATAAAAGTATATGTAACTGTATTATGACGGTTTCTCTCTCATTAGCAGACGCTTTTAATGGCAGTCATTCTGAGTTAGCGGGTAATGCAGCACAGGTGAGGTTGATAACGTTGATTAGGGCTGCATTCCATTTAGTGAGGTTAGTTCAACCGCTACAGCTACACTATTGTACATTCTCACTCACTGATAAAACTAACTGGGACGCTAATTCGAATCGTGCCATTGTATTCACACGTGCTCTTCCTGCAACTGAAAAAGTATTCCATTAAAAAGGGGTCTATCACTCCATAATATATTGATAAAAGTGTATTCTATAATTATTTCTAATTGTTCCTATTAGTTTAAACAAATCGTTATATCTAAATGCAAATACAAAATACACAACCTGAACCAGAAAAAATGTTTCCATCATTTCACACCTCCTGTACTTCCTCTCAGAAAGCTAGAATTACTGATGTTTAATTTCAATGTTTTTTCAGCCTCTATTCAGGCAGGCAAATCATTAAAAAACAAATTCTTATTCACAATGGCAGCCTGGCAAAGGGCCTCTTTGAGAGAGGAAGTGGTTTGAAAAATAAATGTCAAAGCAAGTTAAAAAGTGGGCAGCAACCGTCCAAATATTTCCAACATACCCACTAATGACATACTATCACAACAAGCATTGCATGTGACAAGCATTAAATATATGTGAGGAGAAATGTTTGTTATTCGTTCTTCCTACTGCATCCTTCAATTTCACTTTCATGTTTTGCTGCAGCTGTAATCCCTGTTGTTTTAATTTTTTGATTTTAGACAAATCACCTTTTTTGTAGGTCAAACAAAACAAGGGTCACAAGGGATGTTATGACCTACATGTAAAGCTCACCCGGGGATTTTACATTTTTGCTAAAGACCTTTACTATTGTGCAATTTAACACCATTTGGAGAATGGGGCCAATAAAGATCAGGTCAACAGCACTATCTTTATAATGTAACATGAGTGTCCTATACTCTTTTAATTAATTGATACACCTCTCAAGTACAATTCCAGTTTTAAATCTCAGATGAGTCTCGAAGATGGTCAGTAATGTTGAGATAAAGTTACCCTATTTCTCATTTTGCACCATAGCATACTATTTGAGTCTTTGTTTTCTGTTACTTTCCCCTGTGGCTTTGTAGGTATCTTTATTTATTAGTGTCAATGTATTTACATTTGATGTGATAAAACAATCTGTAAAATACATCCTGAAGTAAGGCAGCGTTCCATGAGCGGTTTGATTGCCAAAAGTCACCAGGCCAGGGTTTGGAAATCTTATCACTCTACTGCTATCCATCTATTTCCCAAGCATTTTCTGTGGGTCGTTCAAAGTTATTCTGGGAAATTTAAGAAATCTAAATCAAAAGTGTATGTAGATTAGTTAGGACAGCTCAAAGAACAATCAGAAAGAAACACATTTTGTTATACTTAAGCTCACCTGCCTCTGCCTTTTTGTCAAAACAAAACATTTAGAGAATGGATTTTTCTCCTCAGAGCTAAGTCAATATGTGTGAGTTTGGAAAAATACACACTTTGTTCAAAATACTTTCTTGCTTCACATGTTTATCGTCATAAGGGCACTTTGTTCACAGGCTATTGTTAGACACCACCTAAAGACTGAGGAATGCGTTTGATTTTAAAAGCGGCACTTATTTCTCTTTAGGAGAACATAACTAACAAAAGTAAAGCAACCTAATTACAGAACTTAAAAGATCATGCTGTATATAGCCCTGAAGTCAATAATGCAGTCTTGGGAGGCATGTATACATAATATAATGCCTTCATTATACACAGCAGCATATTTGGAGGGGGTGCTAAAATTAATTTTACTTTTGAGAGAAAATGATTCCTTAGGGCTTACGCTCTCCTTGTTATTACAACATAAATCTGGTATAATGGCAAAACAAAGCATATAAAAAGAAGGTTCAAGGGAGGATAGAAAAACATTACTTCAGTCTGCGGATAATCCCATCAGATAAATAAAGAGAAAAACAGTAGTTTCCTTTTTAATTGTTTATTAAGATATAAAGCAGGCACATGAATATAAGAAACGTGTGCACTAATAGGTCAGCTCTCAACAAAAAAATCCACAGCAAAATAGTTGATATCACTCAAATCCAAACTCAATTACAGCAAAAGACAAACTGTCGAAATGTTTAGTTGTACAGGAAAATAAAATAAAAAGAAATCCACCTAACAGATAATCATATCTTTCACTGCCAAAGATCACAGATGTCAAACGAGCAAAACAAATTTCAGCTCGAGACCAGAACAGCAGAGTGTCAAAGCCTCTGAACAACAATGCACCTCAATGTATGACTGGAGAACTCCTGCTTTTTACCTGAAGTTAAAAAGAAAACAAACTCTCTCCCGTTTCATTTTAAAGCTCCAACTCCTGGCAACTTGATTCTAGTTTTCTATATAGATTGTGCCCGACATAATACCTTGATTAGTGTTCAAGCTTAAGGACAAGGAAAAAATAAGCAGAGTTTAAAGTAGAAGAAATCCCCTCCCTTCCTTGCTGATACGTCTAAGCAGTGGAGAGAAACATATTGATCCCTTCATTTGAACACATCTTAAATCGTGGAGGTGTTTGGTCTCATTGACAGTTAATGAAGCTTGTCGGCTTTGGAAAGAAAAGACTCTGGGTCTTCTCGTTGTTTAGCCCACTGGGTTCTCCCAGTCTCTCAGGAGGCCAGGCCAATAAACAAAGTCTGACCAAGTTATGCAGCAAAACAGAAGGTTGGGGGGAAATACTCAGTTGCCTTTGGTTTGCTGCAAGGATACATAAAAACAAAAAACTGAAAATACAATGAATTTGAGATGTTTAAATTATAAAGAAATGACATTTACCAGTACAGGGGTATAAATCATTCAGCACAGAACATATGTTTTCTTTAGACTTATTTGAAGCATGTATAGTGGCATAACAATGTACGTATAAAGTTAGAAAAAGGTACACATGGAAAAATAGTGACTTTGGTTCCTTATGCCTGAACCAAAACACATTTAAAATATTACCAGTTAGCCCAGCACATCCAAATGAACTAGTTATTCCTCAAGTAAAAAAAAAGCTAACAGATTTTGCATAGTACATATTTGCAGTACAGACGGTATTTTTGCCATAATCAAACATTGTAGTGAAAAACACCAGCGACCCAACAGCCTTATTATAAAACTGGTTAGAATACAAAATAACCAAAAGCCTTATGGAATTAGCTCTTATTATATCTATGAAATCCAGTCACCTTCCTTCCATCAACATGAAATAAAACATGGGAAATATATTTGTTTTAATGCATTAGTCAGTTTGATTTCGCTCTATCTGTATTTTCCAAAGGAGAGACAGTTATTGCTACAGACTAGAGCAAATCCAAACGTATGGAATAGAAACGAGGCAGTGTAGGAATATAATGGCCGCCTATGCAAAAGTGGAACAAATAGGATAAAACCTTTTCTTTTAGATAGAATGACAAGCTATATCTATATATAAACTCATTGGTCAATATGTGTGTTCTCTTGACTGAAAGGGGAGTCTAGATGCTATCCATGGCCTTGAACTCGCTGAGAGCCTGCACGGGGTTGATGTGCTTCTTCTGAGAGGACCTCTTCACCCGGTTGGTCTGGTCGTCCTGCTTCTCTCTCTTCACCAGGGGCTTCTTCTCGGGGGCTTTCATCTTCCAGGAAATGGCCGGCATATTCAGGGCCTCCATGTTTTTGTTCTTCTGGTACTTAGTAGAGGCAACGTAGGAGGCCTTGACGGTGGACACGACTGTGTTCATCAGATTCTTTGCGGCCTGAATGAGAGACATGGCGCTGTCCAACTGTGGAAAAGACAGAGAAACGGTTAGCCTTGGAACATTGTAAAAATAACCTGACATTTTTTCTTTTATTCACACCTTTTTGAATGAATGTAAATTGAAAATGAAAAGTTTCTGTCCTTTTAACCTTTTCCAATTTAATGAGAAACAATGATTAACAGAATAACTAACCAACCAACCACAGAGTTGGTCTGGACTAAGAACAGATGTGAGAAATTTGAGAATATGGAAAAAGGTCACTCTAATTTAATCCCCACAATTGAATAGGCCCAGAGACAGTGGTGACACTTGACTTCAAGAGTTGGAAGCACAGGCTCATTTCAGCCCTACAGAAAAGAGGGTGGAAATAATGATTTCCTGCACACAAAGGTAACCTATCTTAAACATCAGAGTGGCAAGTAAGTAGTTCATTCATGCTCCAGGGTTCTGTAAACACTGGCCTTGTTCAGTGAGCTCAAAAAGGTTAAGAAACAGTTGGCCAACAATAGTCCAGCACAAGGAAAGCCATTATTTCTGTTATCTGTTTATTTGATATAAAATATAAGCTGCAGATTACAGTGCCGAGAATTAATCATTAACTAATCACAAGCAACAGCCGATGCCATTAAGTCTTAGTATTTTTAATTTATGTGGGCATTGCCGGATAATAAAACTTTAGAAAGTAGCCAATGCATTCTATTGATTTAATTATGTTTCTGCCAGAAACTTCCTTGTCAACAATTGCAATCCTGTTTCCCTCATTGCTTCTAACCCAAAATACTCTGTGTGTATCCTTCCTTCAGGAACAGACTGCATTTCCTACTTACATTAAAGTTGAACCCCTTTGTGCGAATCATTTTGAAGCTGAATTGCTGCTACCAGCCCCACTTCCATTTGAACTCTTAAGATATTTTTACAATGAAGATCACATACATACTTGTCCATGGTTTAGTTCAGTGATTATCAACCTTTTTAGAGCCACGGTTCATTTTTTACATTAAATAAATCCTGCGGAATATTAACAACCCAAAATGACACATTGTAGCTTTATACAGCAGAATTATATTTAATGAGAGTCTCTCAATTTGGCTACGAGTTCAGCTGGTAAGTAACTAGCTTTGAGAGCTCTCTCTTTGTGGTTTTTCTCATAACAGCTACCCATTTCTCAGTTTGTTTACGCAGGCAGAAAAAAAAATGGTCCGTGTTGTTCTTTTGAAGTGACAGGTGTTTTGTTTGGAGTTGACGATTAAGCTTCCTTGGGAACATGGCATTGTTGGATTTTATTTGCAGCAAGTAAATAATATTTTTTGGACTGATTTAGTGAAATTGGAACATTTCCCACGGCGATCTCTTACTGGTTGAAATTCAATAGTTTAAAAAGGTGTTGAACTTACCCCGGAGACGACCAGCTCTCCTCCCAGGTTCTGCACCTCAGCCTTGACCTTGCTGCAGATGTTGAGCTGGTGGCAGTACAGGGCGATGCGCTGCAGGTAGGCCAGCAGGTCCTGCTTACAGGTGGAGTCGGGGCACTGCGAGAGAGAGAGAACAGGCGTCAACACGTGTGCACATCACTTAGTATGTGAGCATACACAGGTTTGTGGTTTCAATGCTACCTGCTTTTGCTGGTTGTACAATGAATCAATTTTTGGAACTCGCTGCTACTACTCAATGTGAATATTTATGTGATTGTACAGACGCCATGATCTCACACTTTATCAAGATGAGTTAGTAGCAGTGTGACAGGTAAGGTAGACACCCACATTAGGGCCGCGCTCAGAGCCAAAATGACAAACGTACGCCCACAACTTGGTAGATTGATAACTCATCTTCACAGGGTTAAGCACGATCAAGTCACACAGCATGCCAATTCTATTAGGAGGAAAACACGGCTGTCAATCAATTACCTTTGGGTAACAGTTTTAATCTGGTGTGAAGTTTTTTTAGAAACAAAAATACATGATCTGAAGTGTTAACAGCACCCTGGTTCGCAGATGAGTAATGTTTTCAAAATGTAACAAAGTCATCATCCCACCTCCTGTCACTAATGTGGGCTCTTGCCTTCAACCCGACAACAAGGTGCGAATTAAAGCGCAGCACTGGAGAAGCACTCTAACCGGCTTCAATAAATACAATTAGTACTCGGAGGAAACATGCAACGGATCCGAGCTTAAATTGTGAAAGAACAGAGACTATGGACTCAAAACCTAGTCCAAAAAGCCTCTTATTCCCAACCATGCATTGTAATATTGCCAAAAGTCAGCTGGGATCAAAACAAAATACATTGGAGCCATAAAAAAATCCATCAACTTCAAGAAATCCCAATAAATTATAAAACCCACTTGAAAGTGGCAGCATGCAAAGAGCTCCACAAATGCATTTCGTTTAGCATTGGCAATCCTTTTGAATTATTTCATCTCATCATAATTAGGACTCGAGCCCTGCCTTTAAATACCATTTCCAATCTCTTTCCTAGTTTGCTAAACAAGCCCCCTGCCAGCATGTTAATTAGGACACATTGATGGGTGTCTGATGCTTTGCATCCGATTGTAGATCTCAGAGACACGACACTAAGGATATGTCAGCGATGATCATTACATTAGACGGACTTCGTTACAGATAATCAGAGGCTGGCAGCTTTTCACACTCACTAAACTAACTCTACCTGTGAAAAGCACTTGGGTGACCTTGGGTGTTTCTCAATCGCGAGTACGCTTGCTTGGTAGCACATGTCTGCCGAGCATCTTGCTTCAGAAGCGAGGCAAGAATACTTCCTGGCATTCGGAAAACGAAGTGTGGAACACGCTAGCAAGTGTGCAGGTGTGCGTCATATGAGAGGCCCCGCCTTACATCTTCCGCCACAGATTTGGGGAAATTGGTCCGTGCGCAAAGCATTGTGGGGATTTTAAGACCGCGGAGTCTACTCATGTGCAGCCTCGATATTTCTCCAAACGGAGTACGCCGGGCTCGGTAGATTTCCAAGTATACTGGAGATTGGAACAGTACTTCGGCGGCACTCGATGACGTAGTATGCTTGAAATAGTGGCTCTGAAGCAGCTTTACTCGCGATTGAGAAACACCCCATGTCTGTGAGCAAGCCAAGAGAAAATACTGGCTCCAAAGTCCAGTATTTGCAGGTGCTTGGCAGTCTGAAGGAGGAGTCCTTTGGCAGAGCTTAATTCTGAGTGCAGGGAAAAAGGTGAAAGGGAGGTAATAGCAGCCAATCTTTTTAATTGATAGAATCTCTGCAGAGAGGAAAATGTTGAGGTCAGTGCTGACAAACACTTGTGTTTGCATGAGTCTAGACAAACTCAAGAGGCTTTTTGTCTGGATATAACGGAGCGTATGACACAGAGTTGACATCTCTCAATAATGACCGCTATTATCGTGCACTAAATCCACACAGGGCGAGGAAACCCCAGATGTCGTTTCTCTATGCAAACGAAGGAAACTAAAATATCTTTGCTATCAACATTTTACCACACTTCAAAGAGTCTAGGACTTATGATGCTTCTAATCCTGCTGAGCGCGTCTGTATCCCTGGTGGGTGTGTAGAGCGCTCTGCTGAATACAGTGCACACACTCCCAGAAACACAGCCATGCATGCATCTACACACTCTCCCCAGCCAGCACAACTGTGCCCCTTTGTACACATCATACCTCAGAGCGGCGGGGTGCTTTAGTAGGAGGACGAGAAAGTGAAGCACAAATAAAAGCAATATTCTTTCAACGTATTCAAGCACATATTTAAGGTCAAACAAATCCTACGTAAACCATTCAAAATGATGTCTTTCCTTATGGAGAGCTCTAAAGATGTCCTCTGACAGTGTTAATAAAATGGACCTTAAGCCTTCTCTGTCACTAGCGTCCACTGCTGATTAATAGAGGGATGGGCTGAGGAGAGAGGAGGGAAATGTAACAGTTGGCATTCTATTAAAGAAGGTATGCAAGAGGAGATGAGGGGAAAGAGAGCTGGAGGGGATGATCATCATACATGGCTGAGAGACTAGAGAAAATGGGAGTGGGAGGAAGTGTTTTCTTTTTTTTAAAGAGAGAGGAAAGAACCAGAGAAAAATAGGTAGTTGGAGAAAAAGACGAGGATGAAGAATGAGCCAGAGGGGAAACAGCATGGAGGAGTAAATAAGGGGGCTAAATCCAACTGGGGAAGCTGGACGTACACAGGAGGATTCAACTGTAGTCGGGGGGGGGGTATAAGCAAGTGAGAGAGAGCGGGAGCAGTAGCACAGACCTGGGATGAGGCTGAATGCAGCAGCCATGCTAATGAGGGCTCGGGGAAGTATTCAGACGGCTGAGCGCAGGGCACTGTGAAAGCATCACTTGTGCTCGTACTCAGCTCAGCTGCTGGCTTCACTCAGCACTCAGGAAACTCTGCAAAGGCTGCTCTGAGTGTGACATGTGCATACAGAAGTTGCACAGAGAAGAGACAAGAACACCTTGGATTGTTTTGGGTAATGCAAATAGAAGCACTGCGTGTGATTAAGCAGCGCGCTGTTCACAAGCTGATACCTGCGCTGTGCTACAAACCAGATGTCTCAGTAGGTGACTCAAATCGCACAAAGAAAACCTTTTTGTTCCTCTGCTTTTAAACTCAACGGTATGAATAATTAAAAGTGCAAATAATAAATGGGGCATATAATGTGGGTGTATTTGTTCACTTATATGTTAATGCTCTGCCGGTTGTGCTAACACCATAACCGTGCAGTCATGTTGAAAATCACATCTATCCCCACTATTCAAACAATTCATTTCCGTTTCACAAAACAGAATTTGCTCTGGTGTGAAAAAGAGAAGGATCATCGCTCTTGTTCCCGGTGAGCGATGCTCTCCTCTAATAGTGACTTCCACCATTAGAGCCCATCATTGTAATTTTTTTCCTCCCGTCGTCTCCGGCTGCTGCTGTAAATGTTCCTGAGGCCTGATGATATAGCCCCTGTGCTTCTCCCTACATGCTGTGTGGCCAGTTATGGCCTGGGACAGCTAACCTTGCTTGGTCAGCTACTATTGAGAGATGGCAGAAAAGGGAGAGAGGCACTGGAGACTTCCACACAAGACTCAGAATATCTTTTAAACTAATAGAGAAGGTGAGTCACCTTCTTTCAAAAGCAGACCGCAGTAAAAGGTAGAAATGTCAACGTTTCTTGTTGTGCTCGCCTTCTCACTGCTGGCTTTAAGTGCCTTTTCCAAAAAATAAATGTAAAAACATTAAAGTTGAATCAAAGGGTAGCTCATTATTATTCTTATTTGCTAATTGAATGTCTTAAGCTCTATATTCATGATGGTTTTACTTCTAGCTGTGTGTGGGTTGTTCTATTTAGCATTTCTTGGCATTTAAGCTATTGCTTAAGAGCATTGTTTTTCTCACTTCAGACTAAGTACCACTTACTTAATATAAGACAACTCCCCAAATGAACAAAAGAATAAATCTGCTGCCAAGAGTAACCAAATTACAAATAACAGTCAATTGAAATGACGAATAGTCAAGAACATTTAAAAAAAAAGATTTCTAAAATACCAGGTTTATCAAATGAATAATTCTGCTGTGACTCATTTGTTCGCCTTCAAAAGCAACATTTTCACTGTGGTCAATATGAACGGTTGAACAAAAAACTAACAACCAATTTATCTGATAATATATGAATTTAAAATAAAAGTTGGTTTTGATATTGAAAACAACATGTATGCTACTCTCTACTGGGCTAGAAGGCATTTTGAGAAACACTGTATTTGGACTTTAAAGTAAGTCATTGTATTTCATCAGATCTACTCACAGACCACTAGGATTACTTTCCAAAAGTCTGCTCTAGAGAAGCACTGACTGAACCAAAAACATATTTTTCACTTAACAACAGACCGCCCAACAAAATAAAAGGAAATGAGGCAATAACAATGACAGAGCAGGATGTTGAACAAAAGGATTTCACTGTGCTACGTGCTGGGTAATGTGCATGATATAAATGATGATCAGGAAGGTCAGGTCCCATCATTGGAAATGCCATGCAGTTCCGCTGAATTCTATTAAACAGAGGCAGAGCCACTGTGCTGCTGCTTCCGCCCGGACTGACCTTTCAGGACGATCACCCAGAGGAAATGCCAATTTCCAATATTTACTGACAAGGCAGCATCCTAATGTGCCGCTGCCGGCGACCTGTTGGTTGGTGCTCCAGGGCGGTAAACACAGAGGCCTTTTCTAATAACTTTAGTTTTTCAGTCACTCCCTGTCATGAGAGAATTGATACACCCACTGTTCTCAGTTCCCAGTGAGGTGATTTTGAGGGTTTTTGCTTAGTGTTTACATTCAATGCCTGTTGCTTTATCCTCTAGACCAGGGGTGTCAAACTCAAATACACAGTGGGCCAAAATAAAAAAAATGGGTACTAGTCGAGGGCCGGACTGGTTCAATGTTTATTGCAGAACTTATTGAAATGAACTTATTGCACATATTAAACTTGGAACTAATGGCGCGTTTCCACTACAGCGCGGAGCACGGTTTAAGAGGGCTGTGACGTCAGCG